AAGGCTTCAACTGTAACACCTTAGGCAAATCCCACATCGATAAAGCACGGAGAGATTCATGGTTCATAAGTAAGAAACCGTCCTTAACTGATAAGACGCCTTGTGAGAACTTCGAAGTTAAACGTGCTCAATGTAAAGTACAACAAGGATGGGTGACCTTATGGGAAGTAGCTTTGAATTTCACCCCAAGTCGAAAACCTTGAGGGTCGAAGCCCAAAGAGGACAATATCTTCGTGGGGAAAAGGTTCGGGATGTTACAAGTGGTATTAGAGCCTCTCCACGTCCCTCTTGAACGATTGTGGGACAAACCTCAACGAGGGAGTTGAGTCCCAGGGAGGGTGTATGTAACACCTTAGGCAAATCCCACATCGACAAAGCACGAGAGAGATCCATGGTTCATAAGTAAGAAACCGACCTTAACTGATAAGACATGTTTTGGGGTGATATAGAGGAGTTCTTGTGAGAACTGCGAAGTTAAACGTGCTCAGTGTGGAGTACAACAAGGATGGGTGACCTTATGGGAAGTCGCCTTGAATTGCACCCCAAGTCGAAAACCGTGAGGTTCGAGGCCCAAAGCGGACAATATCTTCGTCGAGAAAAGGTTCGGGATGTTACAAGAACCTTGTCTTACTTACGAAGCAACTATGGTCGCTCCATCAAAGACCAAATGCATTAATTGCGCGTCTAATGGAAGCGAAGTATCATAAGCATAGTTCGATTTTGGATGAAAGGCTTTGTAGTCGCCCAAGTTTTGTGTGGCGTAGTTTTATGGGAGCTCAAGATTTCTTGTGTAAAGACTTGCAATGGCGTATTGGAAATGGAGCGACGATGAGAATTTGGGGGGGGGGGGATCTTTGTCTTCCAAACTCAGGTACAGGCTACGTGGATGCTGCCCCACGAGGACTCCCAGTCGACTCCGTTGTTAGAGAGCTCACTAACCCGAGTACAAAATAATGGGATAGAGACCTGTTGGCGAGCTGTTTCCTTACGGAAATTGCATAGAACATTCTTGATATCCCCCCTCCGAGGCAGTGATGAATGGGATAAGGTGATTTGGAACCATAATGTGAATGAGGAGTTCAATGTAAGGGATGGTTACAAGAGGTGGCTGAAGATTTCAAGATTGCAGCTGACATAGTTACTACTGGAACTGCGGAGCTATGGAAATCGATCTAGAGTCTCAATGCTCCCCCGAATGTTTGGCATTTCCTTTGGAGATTCACGAGGGAGGCCTTACCCACAGGGGAAAAGGTGATCGCAAAGAATCCAAGATGGAGTGATGTTTGCCTTTTTTGTAATCAGCAGGAGACCCAGCGGCATCGGTTCTTCAAATGTGAGTGGAGTTGTCGCATATAGAGGGCCACTCCTTTGCGAGAGGCTTTTAACATGCATGGGGTAGTGAGCTGCATGGAGAGGGTGATCAAGACTCTGTGTGAGATGGAGAAAGGGACTTTGGAACAATGGGCTACTCTAATGTGGGCGCTATGGAAAGAAAGAAACGCGCAACTTTTGAATGGCAAGAAGTGGTCGGAGGAAGAGGTCACTATGCGAGAAACCTTTTCGCTAGCGAAGTACCAGCTCAACCAAGTCGCTAATGATGGAGATGATTCATTGGTCGGGATAGCTACATGGAGAAGATTGCCGAGTGGGATCATAAAGGTAAACACGGATGCGACAATTTTTGCTGATGGAGGGATAGGGTTGGGAGCGGTTATTCAGAACCATGATGGTCACTTTCTTGCGACGGCAGGGAAGAAGATGCGGGGGTCGTACTCGGTGGAGATGGTGGAGGAAGCGGCCGGGAGTTTGGAGTTTAGCTAGCAAGACAGTTGGGCATGATTGAGCTTATGCTTGAGGTGGATTGTTTGTCTATAGTGGACAAAGTTAAACAGGTTGCTACAATTCGTACGGAGATTGGCATCTTGTGTTAAACATTGGGAGGTATATGCGAGAGTCTGGGTCTGATATAGATAGCATTGGCCTTGTTCGATGCGAGACGAATAATGCGTCTCATATTATGGCTCATAGTTAGACTCATTGGGAGTGCAGAGAGTTGTGGCTGGATAGGCCACCAATATTTCTGATTGACCAGCTTTAGCTAGATGATGTAACCTCAGTTTTCGCATTAATTTATTGAGCATGTTACCTATAAAAAAAACCGAGTGAAAAGAACCAGAGGAGCCCATGCTTACATTTTGATAAGTCATGCAAGTCAAAACGAAACACTCCTTTCTTTCTTCGTATTCACTAATAAAGAGCCCGACAAATCGAAAGCTTTGTTACGGTAACCTTTCACTTGATAAGGAACCCCTTTATGCAAGGTAACATCACCATTTCTACTCGAAAACAACATGATAGTGCCTTATGGTTGTTGGATACAGGAGTAAGTGACCACATCTTTTTTCTGAGACGTAGAACTATGATTAATCGATTAGTAACCCTACCTAATGGAAAACATGATATTGTGACTTGTATAGGGAGCGTGAAGCTCTCTTGTGGTACTTCTCTCAAAAATGTGTTTTTAGTTCCCTCTATTTACTTACAACTTAATATCCACGAATTGGGTTACGGAAAATAGCCATATTTCAGTACTTCTTTTTCAATCAAACTTCTATCGCATTAAGGACCTCATTACTTAACAATGGATTAGTTTAGTCCGTGTAGAAATAGACTTTAACCTTCTTGAAGAAGATAGTAAACATGAGAGAATCAATAACCATATATAGAGATGGCATCGGGGCGGATCGGGGACGGATACTTACCTCCTGATCCCCGCCCGTCAAGGCTGACGGATTTCCCCGTCCCCGTCCGCGCAGGTTAAACGGGGGGATTACGTCTCCCGTCCCCATTAGCAAACGGATCCGGGTAATCCACGGATGCCCGCAGATCATTAACCAAGGATTGGAGTTGCGGGTGCGATTGGAGATGCGACACGATTTTGGGGTGGAAGAGAGAAGGTGGGGGGGGGGGGGGAGTGATTGGAGTAGGCTCGATTTGGGGTTGCAAGAGCGGAGGGAGGAGGGGAATATGAGGAAGAGAAGAGGGGAGGAGAGAAGTGGAGAATGGTGATCTGAAGGAGGAGGGGAATAATAGGAAGAGTGGAGAGGGAATGGTGACTGGAGAATGGGGATCGGAATAGGGAGGAAGGAGGGGAAGAAGAGGAAGAGTGGAGATGGAAGGGGAGAAGTCGGCCGCCACAAGAGAAAATGGTGATTAGAGTTTTTTGAACCCTCACTTAGTGTATATATTGAGCATTTAAAACGACGTCGGGTAAGTCCGAATCCGCCCTTTACCCATGATAGACGGGTAAAACGCTCACCATCTGTGTGGGTTTCGGGTGGGTATCCGGCGGCCCGGTCAAGGGTGCAATCTCTAACCATATAGTTTTAGGGTGATCGCCAATTCATTCACAGAACCAAATCGTTAGTTCAGGTGGCAATTCTCAATCCAATCCATAATCCATTAAAAATATTCAACTAATCCAATCTATTTAAATCCAATCCATTTGATCCAAATCTAATTGAATTAGTGGATTCATGGATCCTTGACAAATTACAATTTAGTACCTATATTTTTTTTTACATTTTTATACCTAAAATTTAATTTTTAATACAAAAAATATCGTTGGAAATTTATATTTTGGCACCTAAAATTTTTTAGTATGACATAGTAGTGCCTAAACTTTTCACATTTTACATATTAATCGAAACTTAAGGATGTCATTTGGATTCATAGATAATCCACCAATTCAAGCTTGTTTGCTTGTTGGATTTGAAAATGAAGGTTTTGAGTTTCAAAAACCTTTGAATTTATGATGGATTTGTTGCATCATGGATTTGGAAGAGTACATTGTTTGTTTAGTTGATTTTTTATCATGGATTTGTGATGGATTTGTCTCACATTTTTTCCTTCTATTGTCAAATCCCAAATGAAATGTGGGATTTACAAATCCGTGGGGTCCACGAATTTGGATCTAAAAAATGGGTCCAAATCCATGGACCCCACGGATTTGTGTCCCTCAACAAACAAAGGATTTGTGTCAACTCCATGATGCTTGGGATTTGGGTTCCAAATCCATCACCCAAATCCCACAAGCAAACGACCCCTGATCCAATCAATAAATCCACCAATCCATTTGCGACACTAAACTCAGAATCGTCACATCATATACAGTATACACATAATAATGATATCCTTGCCTTGAGTCTCCCATTTGGAAGCTTAATTCACTATGAAGTTGCAGATTGGAATGGGCAGTATGATGTGTGTGGCCGTCGGCGGCGAGCAACCACATTATTGTTCCTATCTATGCCTGAGTCAACCAAATTAAATGTATAGATAAAGACTTATGTGGTATAACCCCAATATATATATAGTATCTCAACTTGTTCCTCCTCCCCTACTAAAATAAAATCCTACCTGTTATTTAGCGTGTTGGTAGTTTAGTTCAATCTGGTAAAACCAAATTTTGCAATGTTAGTCTTCAGCTTTCATTTCAACACAACTGGAATGGAAAGAAGATGACAAAATATTGGTCGGTATCAGCCAGGGTTTCGGTTGATGGCCAGTTGCCAGTGCCCAGTGGGATTCATTTGAAAGGCTAGCACTGCAACTGCAAGCATTGAATTGAAAAAGTGGTGCGTAGACAGGCAGGGGCCAGGGGGAGAAGCGGAGAAGTAATGGGCCCACGGGTAATTGGATGGCAGAAAGGTTCCGGTTCCGTAGAAATTAAAGGGCAAACTTAGTTATATTCGTTCCGTTCATGAGCCCCTTGCGTTGCATTAAATACTTAGTACCCCTCAGCTCAGCTCCTCCATCGTCTTCTGCACAAACGTAACTAAACTGTCTCTTTCTTTCTTTCTTTCCTTGTGTCGTCGCCATCTTTCATGACCTCATCACACCCTCTCTTCTTCTGAAACATTATTTCACCTTTCCCCCCACTCTCTTCCACTTCCACAGGCGTACGTCCACACCATCCGCGGCGGCGTCGGTTGGCAACCATGAAATCGACGACGACGACATTGCTAATCTTGACGATCATCTCGATCACAGCCCTGCTACTCTTCCTTTCTTCCTCACCGCCCGCTCCTACTACTACTACTACTACTACTACTCCTCCTCAACAACATTCACCCATCACCATCCGCCGCCATCTCCTCGAGTCCTCCTCCACCGATCTTAATCCTCACTTCCACCACTCCAAGAAACACTACTATTACTCCGACTGCGGCAGAACAAGGGCGGGCTCCCGATCTCTGTGCCTTGAGCTTCAAGAAATGATCCACTCCCTCTCCCCGCCCCGCCGCCGCAAGAGACCGGTCGAGTCGTCGTCGTCGTCGTCGCAAGAAGAAGCTGCTTCACCAGGCCGTGGTTCCGGTGGCGGGGGAGAAGAGATCGACCCCAGGTACGGCGTCGAGAAGCGCCTGGTTCCTTCCGGTCCCAACCCGCTCCACAACTGACCAAGAAACGGCGGGGTACTATTGGTATTTCGCAGCTCCGCACTGTCCATATTCATCTTCTCATCCTCCTTTCATTACATACTATTTCTTTTTTTCTTGTTCCTGCTACCAATATAGCCATTACTAGTAGTGCTTGCTTCGTCGCGTGTACGACGGCGTTTTGGTGATTTTCTGCACATTAAACCGCGGCGTCTCCTGTCCTGCTACAGCGTGGAAGGAGGAGATGGCAGCGGTAACCGTGGTGATGACATCATATTGTATAAGGGGAGTCTTTGTTTCAATTTTCCTCCTTCGGCATGCAGCTTTCTTCTACCTAGCTAGCTAGAAATTACAACTTACAACAAGGTCTTATTAATTAGGGAGGCGCCATTTCCGTGCTTGTTTTTCTATTTTATTCTACTTTTTTTTTTTTTTCTACAAAAGAAAAATGGAGACAGCCAATGAGAAGAAATAGATTTAAAACAAGCAGGGAAATGGTGTTGCGACCCAAACGATCAAGAGATACACATGAGTTCCATTAATTCCTTTTCTTCCTCCCCGCCTTTCTTTTATATTTTAATTTTCACAAAACGCTATCTTTTCATGGCCGGTGTCATGTGTTGCCGACGTTGGCGTACTACACTACTGCTGCAGTATTAACTTTAGTTTTCTAGTACCATAATTTTGCGAAATTGTGTTTTTTCAACCATTTCATACAGCTACAATCAATTTACTAATTTGGACTTTTGTTGGTATCACAAACATTATGTGCCATATATATATATGTGATGATATAGTTTCTCTCCTTCCACTATTCACTTACTGCTGCTCCTTGGATCACCATAAAATTACTCAAATAAATTGGCGGGGAAATTTGGTGTATGAGATCATGCATGGTGTCACGATTCCTCTATCACTAGATTGGGGAGTTTTAAAGTTTAAACTCTATTAAGCATAGTGAACGACTTGGTTCACGCCTTATCAATTTCCTAGAACGGATGCTCCTATGTTCAATTTTATTTGAATTTTTCGGTATAATTTCATATATCCAAAAAGAAATTAATGTTCGAAAATGAAATCGAAAATGGCCTTACCTCAAGTATAAACATTATGAGTCCAACAGATTCGTCCCGTCACCATAAGACCATGATGCTAGCCATCCTTGTACATCATTGATTAGTTACTTAATTAGTAATTAGTAGTCAGGCTGACTCATCCTTGTTAGTAGCGGTTAATCATAGTAGGCGTGAGTTAGCAGGATAGAAAGTTATAGTGGAGCTTTAGCTTATAAGTATATTGTCGTTGATGAATGAAACCAGTTTATCCTTTGTGCAATCCAATATGATAATTTCTTAGCTTAGGAGTTATAGACGTAATTTGACAACGTTCTCGCCATTAATGAGTCTCTATTCGAGAGTTTTGAGTTATTTATCACGAATATGCTACAATTTATATCAGAGCTCAGAAATTTCTTCCAACAAAATTTGCCACGGAACCTACCATACTTCAACATTTCCTTATTTGCCTTTCCATCTCAATTAGTTAACCTGATTTTGCAGTATAAATATAGTTCTCATTCACATTTAATTTCATGTCCTACTCCTAACACAAAGACATCATTCTCAATTGCTATGAGAGCCCAGAGGGGTTATTGCTACTACTTGCCAGTATGACTTGTTCCTAAAGGGTGAAAATTAGTTTCGTGAAGTTTTTCCTCTAAAATACTCGTTTCCTGATGAATCCGACAAAAGACTTTAGTATCCCAATTCATAAAAAAGACGAAATGACATAACCTGAAAGTTATTCAATCTCGATGCACATTTATCTCCTCATATTATGTCATTCTCCTCTAAACCGATCTTCCATATACTGTCATATCAGAAAAGATCTTAAACTCCCGATAAACTTCTCCATATATAACTTGGCCATGACCCTAACTTTGACTCCAAAATGTAACCGGAATATCTTGCCTATAAAGTCTCGCCACTAACGAATTTAGCTTGGATTACCGAGTAATGATTAAAACTATAATTAGCTGCAACACCAAATGATCACACACTAATGATATGATTACATAGCTTTAATAGTTCCATTAAATTTTAACACTGACGGGAACACTGAGACTGAGACCAGTGACGGTGAAGCACATTTTCCTGACTGGCTTCCTCTGCCAATCCGCGTCTGCTAGCTTCTGCCTGAAAAAAAAGAAAAAGAAATTAGAAAAGAGAAGACAACGAATTGGAGGCGGAAAAATAGGAGAAAGAGAAAATTAGTTAGTACCATTTCTTCACTAATACTAGCCTCGATCTTCTTCCCTAACGAGCTTCGACCATTTTCCCTCCAACAATGGCGCGTAGATCGCTTTCCGCCAATCTCCTCCACTTCCTCTCCGTCTTCGCTCTCTTCCACACTCTCGCGCTCTCCAAAACCCTCAAACGCGACGGTTAGTCTCCAGATCTAACTTCCATACCCTCTCCCGGCACCGACGAATTACTTCTTCTGGCAACTGATTTCTTGTTTCTCGTTTTGGCGTGTCCCGTTTTTTGTTTCCTGTTTTTGTTCGCGGTGCAGTGAAGGCGTTGAACGAGATCAAGTCGTCGCTCGGGTGGAGAGTGGTGTACGCTTGGGTGGGAGACGATCCCTGCGGCGGCGACGGCCTCCAGCCTTGGTCCGGCGTCACGTGCTCCACTCAAGGAGACTACAGAGTCGTTACCGAATTGTAAGATTGCTTCTCGTTTCCTCTCAGAGCTTTGGCTGGCGCAATTTGTTGTTTCTAATCGCGGGGGAAATGTGATTCTGATTGATGATCGATTCGCAGGGAAGTGTATGCAGTGTCGATCGTTGGTCCGTTTCCTACCGCCGTGACCAATCTGTTGGATCTCACCAGATTGTAAGCTCGGCTTCCTCTTTGTTTGGAATTTCACTTCGTTAGCATGCTTTCTGTGTGTAAAGACCTCCACTTAGCTTGTTTGGATTACTGCTTTTGGGTTTCTGAACTTGAAATGTTTCTGCAAAATTAGGGATTTCCATAACAACAAGCTGACAGGGCCGATCCCTCCACAGATTGGAAGATTGAAGCGTCTCAAGATACTGTATGATATAACAACCCCTCTTTGCATTATTTGCTTTCTGATCTGATTTTGGCGAATCCTGGACTTGTTTGAGTTCATTCATGGTCTGAACTTCCGTTGCTTTTGTTAAAAGGAACTTGAGGTGGAACAAATTGCAAGATTCCATTCCTCCTGAAATTGGTGAACTTAAGAGTTTGACACACTTGTGAGTAGTATAACATTTTGCACACTTCTCCTAAAATTATGAGACCCTTTTTCCCCCTCGATGCAAGTTAAGGTAAGATGTGGCATGCTGCAGGTATTTGAGCTTCAATAATTTCAAAGGAGAGATTCCGAGGGAGCTGGCTAATCTCCCCGAGCTCCGGTACCTTTACTTGCAAGAGAATCGGTTTATTGGGCGAATTCCTGCAGAATTGGGAACCTTGCAGAACCTTCGTCACTTGTACGTCGCCACCAACTCTTGCTATTCTTTCTATGCTGTGTTGAGGTTGGCTTATTTGTGCTTTTCTTTTGTGCAGGGATGTTGGCAACAATCATTTGGTGGGCACCATCAGGGAACTAATACGTATTGAGGGTTGCTTCCCTGCCCTTCGCAACCTGTAAGTACATTCGATACTGAAAATTATCAATTTATTTTGGGATGCCCTATAAGAAATGCGAATGTGACTCATTTGCATATATTTTGGTGTTCTTCTAGCTATCTGAACAACAATTACCTGACTGGAGGAGTCCCTGCACAGCTTGCTAACTTGACAAACTTGGAGATCTTGTAAGCTCAATGCAATCTTTCATGTTTAGTTTAGCTAACAACTTGAATGAGTGTCGTATCATATTTTACTTACTGCTGAACTCAGGATTTTCTTCCAGATTCATCTTACCCTGATTTGTTTCTTGCAGGCACCTGTCCTCCAATAAAATGACTGGAGTAATACCTGTTGGACTTGCTCACATTCCGAAATTGACCTACCTGTAAGTAACCCTCTCTGGGTTCTGCGTTCCTTCATCTCTATGAATTAGTTTCAGTCTGAGACATGCTTCTAAGATAGTAAATGGAGAGGAGAAAAGAGAGTTGGATTTATATTCGCTTATGGAGTAGGGATCCCTTTTGTATATCACAATTTGATGTTTTGCTGATTTAATTGCAGGTACCTGGATCACAATCAATTCACAGGAAGAATTCCTGAAGCCTTCTATAGACATCCATTTTTGAAAGAAATGTGAGTTCTCGTCCTCTGCATTACAGACCATTATATTTCCACAAATCTGAATTATCACACTCAAAATATCTTCACAATGTACTGAATATCAATCACTTTACAGGTACATCGAAGGAAGCTCGTTCAAGCCCGGTGTAAACCCGATAGGCATGCACAAAGTCTTTGAAGTATCTGATGCAGATTTTGTAGTTTAGAAATCCAGCCATTATTGAATTCATTTCTTTACCACTTGTTTCCCCCCTCTTGTTACAAGCCTATACATAGAGAGAGCTAAAAAAATGGAATGTCATGTATGAAAAATTCATGATCATCCCAATGTAGACTTCGCCACTAAATCAGTCTTCAGAGGCCACAATGTTGAACCATGCATATCATATTTGTATTGTAAATGTTTGCCTCATTTCACTGTCAAGTGGTGGGAGAAGAAAATTCTGGCTGAGTTTTCTCTCCCGCAACAAATTCATGAACCGAACCACCAATCTCGATTGAGCTGCTACCTGGTGACTTCTCCACCCCTCGGTCCCTCATCATCTTCCTCACTCTCTTTGCCTCATCGTGCTTCCCAGCTGCGGAATACAAGTTCGAGAGCAGAGTGTAGGCCCCACTGTGACTTTCCAATTTAAACAATCTCTCAGCAGCAACCTCGGCCAGTTGTGCGTCTCCTTGGCTGCAGCAAGCATTTAGCAGTGCCCTCCATGCTATGGCTTCTTCAGAAGAACTGCTAGAAGATGGCATTCGTTGGATTATTCGTTCGGCTTCTTGAAGAAGACCTTCTCTGCTGAGAAGATCAACAATGCATCCAAAGTGTTCACTCTTGGGCTCTAGTTTGTACTCATTACACATCTTGTCTAATATCATTAACCCTTCAGATGCCATGTTTGAATGGCTGCAGGCAGCTAGAATGGTCAAGAATGTGATGTCATCAGGCTGCAACCCAGCTGCTTCCATCTCCAAGAGCAGCTTCAGTGCGTTCTCCCCATCTCCGTGGATCGCCACCCCGGAAATCATGACATTCCAACAAACGACATCTCTATCAGGAATTTCATCGAACAGGTTTCTGGCGAGCGCCAAGTTCCCACATTTTACGTACATATCCACCAGTGCTGTGCTCAGACGGGTACTAAGTTGAAATCCAGATCTAGTCAGTTGTCTGTGAATCCACATTCCAGTGTCCAAAGCTCCCAGCTGAGCAGAAGCAGTGAGAATGCTCGAAAATATTCCCTCGTCTGGCTGAACATCGGCCAATTGCATCAGCTTGAAGAGATACAAGCACTCCTTGTAACAGCTGTTCTGAACATACCCGGAAATCATGGCCCCCCATAGACCTCCATCCTTGATTGGAGCCTGATCGAAGCACAATCTCGCCTTTCCAACTTCGCCCGCTTTAGCATACCCAGAAACCATTGACGTCCAAGACACAACACACGGGCTAGGCATTTCATCGAACACTTTGCCTGCTGCGCCCATACAGCCAAACCCAGAGTAGAAAAGAATGAACGAGTTTCCCACGACGGTAAACCACTCCAGCCCTAATTTCAGGCAAGACCCATGAACAGCCTCTCCATTAAAACGAGATTCCAGCTTCAAACAAGCTTTCAGCACGTAAGGAAGCGTGTAATCGTCCGGGTACATGCCGTTCCGCCAAATGGTGGAGTAGACTTGGAAAATCTTGGAGAGGTCATCATTTTGCAGAAGACACTTGATCGCGGTGTTGCAGATGCAAATGGTGGGGCGGTGAATGCTCTGGAAGAGCTTCCAAGCGTGGTCGGCGGCGGTGGAGGTTCCGGTCTGAAGGCGTACCTCCGCGCATAAAGCTAGAATTCTGCTAAGAGCAAAGGAATTGTGGCCGAGGCCACAGGCGATTGCTTGGCCGTGAGCTTGCTTCAGTTGGTTCAAGCTCTTGCATTTCTTCAGAAGGTTTAGGCATCTTGTGGAAGGGAGAAGTGACATGAATCTCCTCGAGATAGCTCTGCATTCTCTTTTTCTGGCTTACAGAATCATAGTTGCCTAGGCTACGAATTCATTCGAGGTGGGACAACTCCCTTAAAATATAGTTTTTGGTGCACCCACTTTGGAACAGGTGATATTATATATAATAATAATAAAAAGCTAAATTATATTTTTGGTCAATCAAATTATAAAAATAAAAAATCTTTCACATTTGTTACCCGAATCACTCTTTTTTCTTATTCGTCACTAATTTTACGAATCGTTTTACCGTTTAGTCACCGTTAGATTTCGTTAACATCATTAAATTTTTGATGATTTGGCAAACATAATAGCTGACCAATGACAGAAAGGCAAAAATGAAAATTTTTATTAAATAAATATAAATTAACAAAAAAGAAAAATTAAAAGTATTCACCTATCCCAATCCCCCTCGGTCGTCGATCCCAATTCCCCCCTAATGGCGTCATCTCTCTCTCCCTTCTGCCCGACTGTCTGTCTTTTCTAACCAGCCGCCGTCGAAGAAGGAAACAGTTGCTCTCGGCTAAGGAAGTTGATCTAGTTCCACTAGTGATCAGGGCAGCCACTGCACCATCGTGGCCGCTGCCATCACCAGACGAACTCTTGCCCTCTTTGTTCAAGTCGGTGTCGTCGCTAGTTGCCGAAAGAGAAGAGGAGGTTGAAGCTCTTTGGTGAGTTTTATGGTTGCTCGCCTGCGGACGGAGAAGATTTGGAAGGTCACGGTGCCGATTTTGGTGGGAGTTTGAGGTTGCAATCTCTGCAGGAATCGAATTGAATAGTTGGAGAGAAGATGGGGCTCCGGGTTGCTGCCCATTATGATGTTCGAATTTTTAAAAGAGATCCCTACGTTGCTGACAATGTCGACGTGGTGGGAGCTATCCTTGGTCCAAGCGCAGCTCAATCGACAACCAGACCAGCAACCACCACCATCCCACAAACTACTGCCTCTGTGGTGCCAGCGCCGCCCGAACAGTACAGAGGGACAACCAATCTTCGTCAAGCCAGTTGAGGGGAGGGTTCCAATCGCCCGCACTGAGCCTACCGCCTTTGAAGCCGGAATTCCCAGCAATATGGTGTGCAAAAGATAGGAGTGAGCGCCTCTCTTTTTAATGAAGGGCCATCTTGGGAGGAAACTGGAAGGTGAAGTTTGTGGGGAAAGATTGCAATGGGAATTTGGACTGGAAGGGTAAAGAAGGCGTAGTATAGAAATTGAAGGGGAGGAAATGTGTGGGCCGAGCTTGGGTCTAATGAGGAACACATTTGCCTTGATTGTATTGATGGCAATGATCACTTTCAGCGGGCAATCGTCCGGGTTCCGAGAGACTATGTGCGATAAAACCAGCAAGAGGCGGAAGATGGCAGGGCACAATTCTAGGGCCTTGTGACTTGGAGTTGGCAAATCGGGGTTGTGGATCAACTTCCTCAGCCAAGAGCAGTTGTTCGTCGTGGATTTTAACAATAGGGCCTCCTTTTTCGACGGCGGCTGGTGGGAAAAGACGGGCAGAAGGGAGAGAGATGACGACGTTAGGGGGATTGGGATCGGCCACGAAGAGGAATTGGATGGGTGAGTAGTTTTTTTATGTTTGTTTTTTAATATAATTTTTTATCTTAGCCTTTCTGTCAGCCCAGTCAGCTATTCTGTTTGCCACATCATAAACAATTTAACGGTGTTAACGGAATCTAACAGAGACTAACGGCCGGTGCTAACAGTGAAATGATTCGTAAAGTTAGTGGCAAATAAGAAAGAAAAGTGATTCGGGTGGCAAATGTGAAAGATTTGTATAATTTGAGTGACCAAACATGTAATTTAGCCCAAAAAATACATAAATTTGCATAAAAATTATTGAAGGTTTAGAATTTAAGGTAATACATTAATTAGTTGTAATTTTATATAATATCATCATAGTACTAATCGTTCTTACAAATAAAAAAAGAGAGTCTTTTTTTTTTAGCAATAGACAATGGCATTACCAAATCAAAGATATCAAAGTCTTACAAACAAAGTCTACAACCCAAAACGAAACCAACAATCAAAGTCAAAACTCGCAACAACAGCAGGTAACAAAGAAAGGGTCTTCCTGGCTACATCATGAGCCACCCGATTGCCACTCCTGCCAACGAACGAAACACCAAACCCACGATACTGCCGCCGCAAACCTTCAATCTCCTCAAGAATTCGCCCACCCTTCAAGTCCCGAGTATCCCGGCGCTGAATCTTCTCAATAACGCTCTTGGCATCTCAAAAAAACCACACTTCATCCAGTCCCTTCCCTGAACACCACTAGATTGCATCCCGTAATGCAACCAACTCCACTAGGAAAGGATCCACGAGACCTGCATACTGAAATCCCTTCACCATACACACCCGCCCCATACCATCACAGACAACCAAGCCCCCCGCACCATGAGATCCCGGCGCAACCGTCCCATCCACATGACAGGAAAACGACATCACCACCTGCTGCACCTGGCCCTGCCCCCTACCTCCTCCCAACACTCGATGCTGCGGCTGCATCGTCTGAACTTGCCCCGGCTGGATAAACGCCAACCATTCCTTCACCTGAGCCTCGTACTGGCGGACTAAGCACGGAATATCATACTGCAAATGCTCAAAAACCACCCAATTCCGGCTCTTCCAAACTCTCCACAGCAAAGCCACCATGCGCACAATCCTCTCCGCCCCAGCATCTTGCTAAATCATCTGACGGAAGAACAAAGCAAAATTAGAAACATCCGCCATCCCATCCACACCCGCCACCCCCGAGCAATTCCAAAGCGCCGTCGCAACTCTACAGGACAAAAACAAATGCTCAAGGGTCTCCACCGGCGCCCAGCAAACTGGGCAGCAGGGAGAAATGACCTCTTCCTCTTCCGGTGCGTCTAGGACCTCAGCGGGAATCTGACCCTGCTTTTCAATGATCGCCTCTGCAGTAGGTAAAATGCGCCTAAGGAGCTGCCAAACAAAGAATTTCAATTTCGGAGGTAAAGGAAAACTCCACACTTTCTTCCAAAACCCCATATCAAAAAAAGAAACCTCCTCCTTCCACCCCGGGGACCTACGACTAATCTGAAGGGTCAGATGGTAACCAGACTTCACAGTATACTCCCCATCTGCTTCCCAAGCCCAAACACACCGATCGGGTACCTGTCGGACAGGTAACGAAATCGCCCGAATACACTGCACCGTCGAATCAGAAAAGCAATGTTGCAAACACTCAAGACACCAGTTCCCCAAACCAGGAATCAAAAACGATTCCACCCGAGTATCCGCCATCACCTGGGCTGAGGGAAGAACAAAGCTCTCCTCACGGCGCATTCCAGGAATCCAATTATCTTCCAGCACCCTAACTTCTTTCCCCTCGCCAATCTGCCAAACTAAACCTTGCTGCAATAAATCCCTGCCATGAAGAACGCTAGTCCACCCCCAGGACGGCCTAGACCCACGCTTAGCCTGTAAAATCGAAGTCTTCGCAAAGTACTTCCCCTTCAAAACCCGTGCCAGTAATGTATTTGGTTCCTGCCAAACACGCCACGCCACCTTTGCCAATAAAGCTTGGTTGAAGTCCTCAAAGCGCCGAAATCCCAGTCCACCATCGAACTTACTACGGCACAGGTTCCGCCAGGAAACCCAATGCGCCTTCTTCTTATCCACCAAATATCCCCACCAAAAGCGCGCCATATGCTTGTCCAACTTTCGACATAAGGTCACTGGCAAGAGAAAACATGACATAACATAGATTGGAAGCGCAGCAGCTACCGCTTTAAGAAGGACCTCCTTCGCAGCCCACGATAAATGCCTCTGCTTCCACCCCTGAAGCTTCGCCAACAATCTCTCCTCCAGGTACCGAAATGTCTCCACCTTAGAGCGTTGCACCAGGGTGGGCAGGCCCAGGTATTTATCTTGGACTCCTATAGCCCCAACCCCAAGCATTGCCGCCATCTCCTCTGCCTCTGGCGGGTCCACATTTCCACTAAAACAGACAGCAGATTTATTCAAATTAACTTTCTGGCCACTCAACTCCTGATACATTTGCAGCAACTGCACCAATGTTTCACACTCCTGCCTAGACGCCCGCAAAAACAGATATGAATCATCTGCGAAAAACAAATGCGAAATGCTAGGGTATCTAGGGTTCACCTTAACCCCGCCAGTCTTTTCTCCGATATAGCCTGCCTCAACAATGCCGCAAATCCCTCAGAACAGATGGCAAACAAGAGAGGAGAAAGAGGATCTCCCTGTCTTAGCCCTCTTGTAGATCGAAAATACCCCGCTGGTACACCATTCATCATAACAGAGAAAGACGCCGTCGAGACGCATTCCTGCACCCACCCTATCCATCGGCGACTAAAACCCATCTTAGTCATAATCGCAAGCAGAAAGTCCCACTCTACTCTATCATAGGTCTTTTCCATGTCAACCTTTAGAGCTAGGTAGGACTTCTGCCCTTGCTTTTTGATCTTCAGATAGTGCATGACCTCATGCCCAATCAGAACATTGTCAACTATCTGGCGTCCACGAATGAACCCATTCTGCTCCGGTGAGATAATGGAAGGCAAAACAACAGCGATTCGCTCCGCCATGATTTTAGAAATAATCTTATAAAAAAGTTGACAAAGACTAATCGGTCTAATCTGCTTCATAGACTCCACCGATTCCACCTTAGGAACCAACGTCAGCCAAGTGTGATTGAAACTCTTCAAGAGGCGACCGGACTGAAAAAATGACTGCACAGCTTCCACCACGTCCAACCCAACAATGTCCCAGTATGCCCTGTAAAATTTCCCAGTAAACCCATCCGAACCTGGGGCCTGGGTAGCACCAATGGAAAACACCGCGCGGCGAATCTCGTCTGCCGAAACATCGGCTGTCAGATCACTGTTCATCTGCTCCGTAACAACCTCCGGGACAGGGAGCCCCGCCATCCTCTCGGCTAAATTCGGCAACTGTCTCTCCAAAGTGAACAGCTCCTCATAAAACTCACCTGCCACTGCACCCTTTTGTGCTTCATCCGTCACCCATGTACCATTTTTATCAAGTAGCCCTTCTATAAAATTACGCCTCCGCCGCGTCCATGTAACAGTATGGAAATACGAGGAATTCCTATCCCCCTTATCCAACCATCTAACTCGCGACTTCTGCCTCCAGTATTCCTCTTCCGCCGCCCACTGTGCGGATAACTCTTTCTCAAGTTCACCAATACGATCCCAATCCACACTCGTCCCTTCTTTCAAAGCCCCAATTTCAGTCTGCAGGATACGAATATTCCGCGCCGAGTTATTAGTTCCCACACGACTCCAATCGAAAAGTAAATGACGTAGTGCTTTTAAACGTTGCCATAACCGGAACATCGGTGACCCAGTATATGTCTGTTTCCAAACATAACTGACCAGTAATCTCGCCTCCGGGTTCTCCACCCATCTCGAGTCAAATCTGAACAAGGGTTTGGCCATTCTGCTGAACGGTTTATCCGCCACAAGTAAAGCCCTGTGATCTGACCCTAGGTCGGTACAGTGCTTCACCAACGACTGCGGAAACCGGGCCGCCCAAGCAGGGGAAACCAAAACCCGATCCAACCGCTCCATAATACATGCCGCTCCCATGCGACGGTTCGACCAAGTGAACTGCGGACCCATAAACCCAATGTCTTGCAACACAAGATTGTTCATAAGATCTCTAACACTCGCGGAACTCATAGGATCCCACGGCCGACCACCTGCTTTTTCATTAGCCTCCATCACACAATTCATATCCCCAACCAATAAATATGGGACAGACAAATGAAAACAAAAGTCATAAAGAGAAGCAGTCTGATGAGCACGAGTGTTCAAATCAGAAGAAAAGTAAACACAAACACACACATACTCCAAATTCTCCATATCATTACCAATACCAAAAGCAATAAAAAAAGAGTCATGCGCCAGTACATGGAGATTACAATCACCATCCCACCCAACAGCAAGGCCACCGGCCGCATCCACCGCATCAACAAGGAAAAAATTCTGAAAGCCTAACCCACGCAATCGCCGGGTAACTACGCGCCTACAAGATTTAGTTTCCGAAAGGAAAATAACCTCTGGCTTATTCGACCTACACAGACCGAGTAAAGATTGGAATGTAAGAGACGGCCCGATACCTCTTACATTCCAGGAAATAAGCTTCATTTGGCTGGTTGGGACCATTCATGGCTGGTTTCCTCCACCACAGTTTCCACACATTTCTTCTTCACCGGGGTAGGATCGAATTGCAGACCTGCAACTTCCCCCGCTGCCCGCTTCCTTTCATCAATCTCTGATGGATCCGGCGCCACCATACGGAAGACCTCCTTCCCCTTGCCTTTCGACCCTCCAACTGCTGCCCTCGGCCCAGAATCATTGGTCTGCCTACCATGAGGCCTGCGCGCCTCTGCTCTATGCTGCTGCTGCTTGGGAGCAGTCTCCCTGCTCCTCTCCAACCCTCTATTGACCTGTGGATAATGCCCCTGCCCACCCTTGCCTTTCCCCTTCACATATTGCCCACGAAACCCACTGCCACTACCAATAGAGTTTCCCCTATACATCGGCCCCTGCCCTGGCTTACCTTGCAGATTACCGACAGCATTCCCACGCTCCAAACTCCCTTGAGCAGGCAGGCCCAGCACCACGGATTTGGCCCCCTCACCAGCAGCCTCCCCCTCTGCTTCCCGATCCCGTTTCTGCTTCCCACCTCCTGCAACAGTGACTCCAGAATTGGGGTTGACCCACACCGACGATTGTGTAGGCTGGCGCAGCGGGAAAGGCACAACCGCTGCCTCCTCCACTCGATAGCCGATGATGTCGGTACTGAGCTCCGGACCGTAGTGTTCTATTCCCAGCGGGTCTGGAAACACACAATTTGGGGCCATATGCCCCAATCTCCCACAGTGATAGCACAGCAACGGCAGAAACTCATAGACCAGAGTGACCCAAAACTCACCAACCATCGGATTGCTGGCATATAGTTGAGAGCGAAGGGGCTGAGTGATGTCCACCAGGACCTTCGTCTTGATGAAGTGACCAGCAATACCCTGAATAGCAAAAGCCCCAGCCTCCAATACCTTCCCTATCTTCGAACCAGCCACCCTCTTTCCAAATGCTACAGTACGACAGTGCTTGGGGATTCCCCACATCTGGACCCAGAATGGGACCATAATGAAAGAATCCACCACCTCCTTGGTTATTTGGCACCAGGGCTTCAACTGCAGCACCCTCTCCTTCACTGTCCATGGCGACCGCTTGAGAACCCAATCACGATCAGCTTCATCAGCAAAGAAGAACTGCAAGAGCCCTCTTTCCGCAGCAAGAACCCTGACCTCCACAGCACAACTCCACTCTGCATTCACAATCTTGCTAATAACTGTCAAGCTGGGAGGGTTATCCATGAATAGCCTTCCCAGCAAGCTCATCTTTGCCCACTGAACACCTGCCGCCACATCTTCCATGGTGAATTCCACCACTTGATCCATGGACAGAGCCTGGATCCCCGCAGCCACTTGATCCACCTGCATCACCTCCTCTGATTTCTCTCCCCCCTGGGTAGTCTTCGATCCAGCTTCTGCCTGTGATCGTGATGAAGCCGCCGTCGCCACATCCTCTGCTTTTGCCTTCTCTGCCATTTTGGCTTCCTCCATCGCAGGAGCAGACACCTCCATTGGAAAAAAAGAGTCTTACAAAAAATCATATTACACTAATTCTATCAATTAAAATTCAAAATTCAATGTGTTAAGCCTATTTTTGAACTTGGATGCATTGAATATACTTATTTTTGTGAATGAACCAAAGAAGCCACCTATATGGTTTCGTTTTCAGTGCACTCATTTTTTGGATGAATTTTGTATTTGACATATTGAGGTCGATCGAAGAATCAAACAGTGGACCATTCTGTTGAAAATGTCGACCTCTTGGTTTGCAGGTCTATTGGATATGCACACACCAATAGGTATTTGCTAGACCGCCCGACCACTTTCAAATGAGGATGCTAATAAACAAACTCAACTTTTATTTCCTTCGGCGACCATGTCATATAGGTCAATTAGATTGGGGAAACAAAATGTCAATAATTTAAATATCACAAACTAGATTATAAATTTGATGATTCAATCCACAATTGTGGTTGTACAAACTTAAACAATCTACATTGCTCAATCCACAATCACAGTTGTAAAAAACATATAGTCTACAATGCTCAATCCAAACCCCCGAAACATTAGAATAGTCCACAAATAGCTCATATCCAAAACCATATCATATAAAAATCAATAAAAAACAAATAAAATCAATCATACATGAGTCCCCTTATCTCTCTCTTCTCAATCATCTACTTATTTCAGAATATTGGTACTAAAATTTTGATGCTTGGATGTAGTGTGATACGCATTTCTCCGGTATAAGATCACAAATTATCTGCATCTCATTCACAATCATATGAAATGTGCTCATCTGGTTGGATGTTTACCTCGTATAATTAGTCTTATCATTAACGCGGTTGCATATATATCATTGAGAATATTGGTGGAGCTAGATTAAAGGTTGCAGCTGAAGCCTGAAAGGTTGACTTGACAACGTGCATGATTGACTTGTTATATCTACAGCTATTGTATGAACAAATAGCTTTGATGTTCTAATGCCTTTTCTTCTCCACCAAGTTCCAAAGCAACAAAAAATTGTAAGAACAAATTTTAGAGTAATAACTAATAAGTTAATAACGTAGACCATTATTTCTAGAGATTATATTGATTTTAACTCGGGTTAAATAATGTTCAAATGGTTGACTCATATTTTCCTTTGTAATTGTAGAGCGTCGTTGCACTATTGAAATATTTTAAGTGGTGGAATCCTATTCCAACACAAGTAATGCCAACTAGTCGATCGTTTTATTTGAGAGCTCAAATAGGGGGGCATGTAGGTGGATATTCGCGGTTTGACATCGACCCTCCAGTAGATAACCCAAACCGTAATAGTCTAGTAGATGGGTGATTGTTGTGAGTGGATTGTGTATCAATAAATATCCAACCCACAAATATCGGGTGGATGATGGGTGGGTTGTGGCCTGTGGGTCATCCGAATGACCCACACTTCATCTTTACATAAAAAATAGTTGTTTTTTATTTATAGTAACGAATAATCATCGTATTTCTTAACCGACATTACACACTGACTATTGACTTTTACAGATAGAAAATAAAAAATACTTTTGGGCTACTACTATTGGTCACTATGTTGTGTAATGTCAATTAGATATTGAGATACAAATTATAAACTATTAATTGTATCTAAATTATAAAAAAAACCTTGAGCTTTCTCTACATGATAGGTACATAATAGGTTGATGAAGTAATGAAAATTTTGAGACAAGTACTAGACATCTCCACATGAGACAAATTGACGGGAGGTGTCTAAATTGTTACTCTCTTACTAATTTGCGATCAATTTATTATAGATGTTAGTCAAGCTGCTTAATTAATAGTTAAAAATTTGAGTTTGTGGGTTAACCTATAACCCCACCGTACCCATCCGTCACTCAACTCAACCCAAAGTATTGTATGAGTAGATTATGGACCAGTTTCAGACTGAAACCCACCCAACCCACCCTTGAGCTCGACCATTATTATCCATTGCAATAAGTATGGACTTGGGACTTCCTCCATTACTGTCCATTGCTGTAAGGTAAGTATGGACTTGGGTTTTCCTTTCTTCTTTCGATTTCTTAGTTTTGGGTAGGAAATACATTGATTTCTTGTAGTTGAGGTTATTGGAAGAAGACCCCTTCGGCCAAGTTAGAAATCCATTGTCATTCAATTCGTCGATTGTTAGATTCTATTCTGGAAGACTAACTATGCGAACAAAGTTCTTAGCTTTACTGACACACAAAAGTTGGCTAACAATGCAACCAAAAAGGATTCCAGGCTTTCGCCTCTTGTTGTTCAAAGGGTATACCTTTACGAGGATGGGATTCTGAGGAACCCTCGAGCAATCTTGTAAAGAAGGCAACGAGATGCTTTCCTTGAGAATGGAGGCTTGTGTTATCCAAATCAAACTATGATAAACATGCTCTTTATGCCAGCAATGTTCTCAGGCTTCACCATCAAAATAACACAGCCAGCTAAGGGAAGTTTTCGGTTTAAATCTCAGAGCACAACTCTCTTCCAGAAATGGACTACCTGATCAGGCAAAACAAGGGGAGGGTTTCTGGAAAGCCAAAATCTGCAGCAGAGGGAGAGGCTAGCAGTTCCAGAGAAAGAAGAATCCCTGTGCAGAAGACCGAGTCCTTCAAAGGTAATATCTTTTTGAAGTTTTCATATCTGTTCTCTGAAATTGCAATCCTGGGAAGGCTTGAATCATAGGATCAAGCAAAATTGTTGGATTCTTGCAGAGAAAAAGAGGGTATGGTTCGGTAGACAGTTCTCAAGGCAAACCGATCGAGATTCTGATTCAATGGCGATTGACCAAGCAGCTGCTGTTGCTGCTGCTGCATTTGCCATTGCAGTTTCAAAAAGGCCAAGCTTTTCAGAACCTAGAAGGAAAGCATTGGAGGAAGCTCCTCCCCAACCTCCTCTGAGACGAACAAAGAGCGAAAGACTCGGTATTACTATTTACTAGTACCCAAAATCTCATGACTTAGTACATAATCAGATTCTCTAATTCAACTTTCTTCTAGACAAACTAATCAATCAGCTGGTGCAAATCAGGCTCTGTATCAATAAGAGATGCAGAAGGAACTACAGACGGCAACATTGATGATTACGATGAAAAACCAGCTGCAGAGGTTGTTGGTCCCGTTTCGTCAATGAAAAGGACATCAACATTTGCTGATGTGCCTGCTTCCTCAATGAAGAAAGCTCCAAGTTATTCTGAAAAGCCTGTTTCATCGATGAAAAAGGCACCATCCTTCACGAATAAGCCTGTTCTATCCATGGAAAGGTTGCCAACTGCAACCCAATTGCAATTGAACGTCACGGATGGTAAGAGGAAGGAGAAAATCCCTGAATCACAAACTGAGCAGCCCTTGACAAAACCTGAAATTTCCTTAGCAAAACCAGATGGAACTCTTAAGCCTGTAATCCCGCCTTCTAAGCCTTCCAGAAGGACTGGGATTGGAGAGTCAACAGCAGATGCCTGGGAGAGGGTTCAATTGGAGAAGCTGAAAGAGAAGTATGGACATAGGAGTCTCTTCAGAGTTCATATGCTTTACTTTCCATAATTTTCTCCTTTCCCTGAAAAAAACAGCACATGACGCAGGTATGAGCAGCAAGATGACCAGATAGTCTCCTGGGAGAGCGAAAAGAAAGCAAAAGCCAGACGCCGACTTGATAAAACTGAGGTTTGCTTGCTTCACTATCTTCTTGTTTGTTCTTCAGTCAAACATAAGTTGTAGGGTTAGGAACTAACACAGTTAGTTGGATTTTTACAGAGTGAATTGGAGAGGACAAGGTTGAAAGCCTTGGAAAGGTTTCGCAGTGACATGGACACTGTCACTCAGATTGCAGGAGGAGCAAGAGCAAAGACAGCTGAGAAGCAGAAGATTGAAGAGTTGAAAGTGAAACAGAAAGCAGATATAATTAGAAGCACAGGCAAAGTTCCAAGAAGTACATGTTTCTGCTTCTGAGTGTTGGCCACTATATGGCACCTTAAGTAATTTGTTGGTTTGAGGTTGAGTTTATAAATGTAAAGTCGTAACACTTCTTTCACGGATGTATATACAATATCTCAATACATTGACTATGTAAAACTAATTTCTTTGTGTTGAACAATATTGATAAAGAAGCACAAGATCCATTACAAGGAAAGAGAATAAAGAACAATATTTGCTGGCAAACAAGAAACCTAAAGACTGCAAACAGCACAAACCATCAACTATAGTGTATAACACCTTAAGTCTCAGTTTCTTGACAAACAAAAGACAAATCATAATATCGCTCCAGAAAATTCTCACTTTCAAAAAAATGTGAATCATGATTCATGAAACATTACACGGAGAACAAGAGTATATTGAACAGAATCCATCAATCAATATATCAGAATTCAACACACAAAAACATCAAGAAACTATCTCGGAAACAAGCCTAGCCAAAGTAGGGTAAGCAAAGTACAACACCAAGCAAGATGGTATGGCAAAAACAACAGTGACAATAAAGTAGAGAATCAAGATCGCCGAGCTGATGGGAATGGCGAAAAACACCACCAGAAGCAATACAATCGCCAATGGGAACTTGGAAGTGAAGTGAATGAAAAGGTCGAGCGACTTGTGCAAGGAGAAAAGCTGCTGCTGCCTCCCCACATTATTGTCACCTCCTCTACCACCACGACCATGCCCTCCAAAGTCCAACCATTGATTCTGCCCAGTCCTCCTGACCACTTCATTACTCGAAGACCAAACAGGTTGATCAACCAAAGCAGAAGACGACGACGAAGAGGTAATAACTTTCCCTCTATCATCATTCAACCTCTCAACCATCCACAGAAGAAAGAAGTTCTTGCGGGGGAACCTCAGGCTTCGGTTGTACAACACTCGGAGCGATACCATGTGGCACCAGGGGCATGAAATGAGGAAAGGCACCTTAAACTGCTGACCATGGAACTGCCAGTTAGTGCACTGAAGCCCCAAGACACAGTTCTGGCAGAGGGTATGTCCACACCATAACACATAAGGTACATTCTCAACAATGTTGAAGGACTCCCAACAAATTGGGCATTCCAATCCTTCTTCATCCTTGCTAGCATTTGAACAGCCATCGTCGTCTGAACACTCAGAATGATCCTGAATCGGCTCTCTAGGTTTTGGACTCCTTTTGAGCCCAATGCTGGCGATGGCATTTGAAGCAAATCCCCACATCTCTTTTGGTATTTCTCTCAGTAATCAATCAGCTCTTACTGATCAAACCAAAGACCAATTAGAGAAGCTAATACTAACAGTCCTTAGATTCTGAGCCATTGTCGCCAACAACTAAAACTCTATTCCATTCCAAACTCACGCAACCAATAGTCACCATTGTTGCCCAAACAGAATCTGACCAAGCACTACACGATAAAAGAAAAACACTGATGAGTTAAAATCAATAATGGTTTAGAAAGTCCAATCACATGAAAAAAAACTACAGAGAGGACAAGATAAAGACCGGTAGGAAATTCCAAAACCAACCCGTTTCTGCATCGACCCAGAAGGAATCAAAGAGGATGGATTAATAAGTTAATGAAGAAAGTGAAACACAAAAAGGTGAAAACTTGGAGAGATGTTAAGGGTGGAGATGCCGAATTAGATAGGGAGCGGGAAGGTGAAGAAGAAGAAGAAGATGAACCCATGACAGAGTCAGAGCGAAGGAATAGCAGATGGAGAAGATTGGGGAGAAATTAAAGGTGGAAGGTTTTTTGTTACCTTTGTCGAAGTCAGCTGAAACTTGGGGTGAGAACGAAAATTGGATCCAACACAGGAAACCCCAAAGAAAATTTCTTCGCTGCGGTCTGCTTCTCTTTTATCGTCCCTGTTTGGTCTGTGAAAGCTTGCTCTGTTCCCCGGATCAACCGTATTCCATATCTTCTACATTTTCAATTTGCTCTGCGCGTGAGGAGCGCTCCGCCGTCCGATTCGGATCGAGTAGTAGTGATCCGGAAAAATTAGTGGAAGCTAATAAAATAATCTTCGTGCTGCTCTGCCGGCGTCAACTGCAAATCTGACGGGTTAAGATCAGGTGACTAAGGGGTACCCTTAGTCACTTGGCTAAGTTAATCTCAGCCTTCCATGCTCATTAAAATCCTAAGGCTACAATTAATTTATTTTAAGGAAGGACAACATGGTAATTATACATTTTAATTTTGTAAATAAAAAAAAGAAAAAGAGTCCTTCCCTCACCTGTTTGTCGCACGCAGAGATGAATCCACAGAGACGGCGGCGGCCATGGACGACGGCGGCGAAGGACGACGGTGGCCAGGGACGACGACGGCGAAGGACGACGGCGGGTCGATGGCGTTCTGTGTTCGGGGGAGAGAGAGAGAGGCGGAGGTAGAGGAGAAGAGAGAGAGGCGATGGCGACCGTAGAGGAGAGAGAGCGGCGGCGGTAGAGGAGAAGAGAGAGAGACGGCGGTGGCGGCGAGAAACAACGACGACGACGACAAGAGAAGACGAGAGGGACGACGACCGTGGAGGAGAGAGAGGCAGCGGCGGTTGAGGAGGAGAGAGAGACCGACATCGCCAATTTATTGGCGGCGACGATTTCGTAATTTCATCATTCCAGTTTGTATACTTTATGTTATGATTTGTACTGTTTGTATGTTTTGTACGTTTAGTATGCTTTGTACTGTTTGTCGGGTTATTTTGTAATGTTTGTACGCTTTGTTATTTTGTAATGTTTGTTGGTTTCTTTTGTATTGTTTGTAATCTTTGAATGACTATTTTGTATATATTGTAATTTGTTATTTTTGTTGCTCTAGTTTGTATACTTTTATGTTAAGATTTGTATACTTTGTATTCATTTGTTTGTAATACAAGTTTATCAATCTGTATTGTAAGTAGTGATATTTTGTACGTTTAGTATGTTTTGTACTGTTTGTCGAGTTATTTTGTAATGTTTGTACGCTTTGTAATGTTTGTAATGTTTGTTGGTTTCTTTTGTATTGTTTGTAATCTTTGTATGACTATTTTGTATATATTGTAATTTGTAATTTTTGTTGCTCTAGTTTGTATACTTTTATGTTAAGATTTGTATACTTTGTATTTATTTGTTTGTAATACAAGTTTATCAATCTGTATTGTCAGTAGTGCTTTGTACTGTTTCTTTTGTAATGTTTGTAATGTTTGTTGGTTTCTTTTGTATTGTTTGTAATGTTTGTTATTTTTGTCCACATGTTTGTCATTTTTGTCAACCATGTTTGTAATGTTTTTTGCATCACAAATCAATACATATAAAGTATACAAATTATTAGTACTTACAATACAAAGCGAAACATACTAAGAATACAAGCAAAACATACTAAGAATACAAACTTTCAAAGAAAAACATACTAAGAGTACAAACTGTCAAAGAAAAACATACTAAGAGTACAAACTGTCAAAGAAAAACATACAAACCATACTGACATTTTGTACAAAAATACTAACAATACAAACTAATGTTACAAAACATACAAACTATACAAATCACTGTTCTTCCTTCAGACGACGATACGATCTCTCTCCACCGCTGCCGCCGCTGATTCAATCTACTGCCATCGCAACCTCTCTCTCTCACTCTCTCCATCGTCGCGCCGCCTCTCTCTCCTCCATTGTCGCCGACGCTCTCTCTCCGCCATTGCCTCTCTCTCCTCTGTTTTCCGATGATCAAGACCAGATCTGTTTTTCTCTCTCTTCAACGCCTCCGTCGCGATCTCCTTTCCCTCTTTCCATCGTCGCCGTCGCTATCGCTGTCGTGGTCGAGGTCTCTTTTCTCTCTCTTCATCGTCGCCGCCGGTCGCCTCTTTTCCATCGTCGCCTTCGTCTTTCTATCTCTCCCGTGGCTGGCAGCGCAGAAGAGAAGGTGGAGAAAAAAAAATTATTGAATTTTTTCTAATTCCAGGATTGCCCTTCTTATTAATAAAATAGTCCTTCCATTATCTACACCATTAGATTGATCCAAGGGTTGAGGGGGGCTTAGCCAAGTGACTAAGCACCCCCCTTAGTCACCAGATCCGTGCTGAAATCTGACCACTATTATGGGTTTGAAGTTTTATTTTTGACGGGTAATTTTGTGTCGAGGTTTACGGATGATATTTTGAAATAGTCCGTTTGGTATTATTTGATCTGATTGTGATGGGCGGGTATTATCCGACTGTCGGTCCACTGTGTTTCAATCTACTATGTTTTTTTTAGATAAGGGTAATATAGGTATTTTTTATAATTAGATACTACCGAAAAGATTTGAACCTGGGACCTCCAATTTCAAGGCTAGTAGTATTACCTCTAGACCAATCCCTTGTTCGTTCGCTCTGTTTTTTGCCTAGTATATCTTAATTTTTAGGGTAAATACAATTTAATATCCAAACCTTTTATTTTAAACAATATAATAGCCAAACCTTTTCGAAAAAAATCTAATATCCAAATCGTCAACTTTCTGTCTGTTAGACCGTTAGTTGACACTTCAAAAAAGTTCGAAGTACGACACTTCATCAATATCTTCTCTGAAAAACCACCAACATATCGTAGTTCCAAACCCGAGAAGTCCATGACTCCACCATGATGGTATAGAATATCTAAATATTCAGTCATCTGCAATGCCAAAACAAGAAACAAAGTTGTATTGTGACAATTTCCCCTAAACAAAGCTTTTTTGAAGTGTCAACTAACGGTCAAACGAACGGAAAGTTGACGATTTGGATATTAGATTGTTTTCGAAAAGGTTTGGCTATTATATTGTTTAAAATGAAAGGTTTGGATATTAAATTGTATTTACCCTAATTTTTATGGTATCTACTTATATTTTGGCAAAATACACTTGCATAGCCACAACTTTCCACTTTGTGCCAACAATAGCCAAATTTTGAAAAATACAGAGAAATAGCCGCGTGTTTGAAACTTATTTGCACAATCTAGCCATTACCGTTAAATTATTTAATGCCTTTAACCTCTCCGTCAGTTTAGTGGATGGTATGCTTACGTGGCCACCACATGTCCTACACCTATTTGCCACATAGACGAACTATTGCCACCTAATTAATACGTCATTATCTGAAATTAAAAAAAAAACATTTTCCCTATAAAAGTCACTAACCCCCTGCTGCGAACCCCTTTTCACGATTTCTAATTTCCCCTCTTCTTCGCTAGGTTTCCGCCGCCGCCGCTCCGCCGCCGAGCCTTAGGTTCTCCCCGATTCCCCCCCCCCCCCCCCCCCGACGACGCCGCTCTTCATCGACCTTTCTCCCCCGACGTCGCCCCTTTCCCCTAACGTCTCTCCCCCGACGACGCCCTCTCCCTCGACCTTTCTCCCCAGAAGACGCATCATTCCCCCGACTTCTCTCCCCACACGTTTCTCTCCCCGTCGACGCCCCTCCCTCGACCTTTCTCCCCATAAGACGCCTCACTCACCCGACTTCTCTCCCTAGACGTTTCCCTCCCCGTCGACGCCCCTCCCTTTCGACAACAATTGCAATCATGCCACAGAGAATTGGGAGTGGCAAATCGGTCAAGGTGGGTGATTCGGGTTCAACAAGCGTAAACAATTCAGGGCTCGTCCAGTGCTTGCATAAAAAACCTTGTGTCGTTCAAACCTCCGGAACTGATTTGAATTCAGGCTGGAAATTCTACGGTTTTCCTTATTGGAAGGTAACAGAAGCATATTTGGATTACTCATTTGGTTCGAATCATATGTGTGATGATTACAGATGGTTTGACAATGCAGGATCCAAAGAAGAACTGCGATTATTTTAGGTGGGTTGGAACTAATGGTGATGATTTTAAGGGACAGGACACTGAAGTGGAGGATACAATTCTCAAGTTGGAAGAGAGTATTAAGCGAGCACAGAGCAAGGCTGAAAGGAGGAAGAAGGAAAAACAACTGGTGACTGAAGAACTAATCAATGTAATGGCGGTTCACGATGCTATGTTAGCTGAGACTAGGAGTATCAAATTTGATGTTAAGCTGAATCGATATATGTTGACCATTTTATTCATAGTGAATGTAATGGTGCTTGTAGTCATCTGTAGTATGGAGTAGTAGTAAGACCTTTCAGGTTGTGATTTAAGGGCAATCTCGTGACAAACATAAGTTGTTGTCCCTGGAAGTAATTTCAGTGTCGCTTTCTCCCCAAACTCAGCCCTATCAATTGCAAACATCTCGAGGTTAGTCGAGTTTCCCTTCTTATCACCAA